GATTGCTCGTCGCGACGCGCATCCAATGCTGGCTTCCCCTCTCACATTTTCTCTCTCGCTCTCTCAGTGTTACTCTATGTATATACATGTACTAACTTTCCCCGCCAGAGCCAAGCACTTGCGATGTATTGATCGTCGATCTTCTCGATCGCAACTATTAGGGCGAATAAAAAGTTTCTTTCCGATTTTTCTTCTTTTCCTCTATCCAGTAGCACAATTTTAGTTGCACATTGATTAGTTTTCAGTGAAGCACTTTTGTTACCGGTGTTTAGGAAGGTAATTAACCTCTTAGATGGAAATGACGAGGTTCACCTGCCACAATTTTCTGTGTCAAATTCGACGCATATTTAAATGTTGAAAAACTATAGAAAATTTCTTTTAATTTGGACAAAAATATTATTCTATTCGCACACACTTTTGCTTTCTTTCTATGTAAAATAGTCTGATTGTGGATATAGAAAAAGCCTGCTAAAGGAAATTGTTGAAATGAAGCTTAGAGAAGAGGAATTTCAATTCTCCACAGTTACAGGGTTCTAATATACAAAAGAATTGAGTGACTTGTCTAAAGATATCGTCATCTTGACATTCATAAGAACCTAATTTTTGAACTTGTTTTGTAAGTAAAGTGTTACAGTGAACCCTCTGTAAAGGACGCGGTAATTCTTAGTGCAAGGGAGTACGTAATCAGTACATATTAGTCTAACTGAACAATTAAAAGTGAACAGTTTTCTTACGAAATTGAGTTTGTAACGGTATTCGAAATCACACAAATTCACCCGAAGTAACAATTTTTGTAAAATTACTGTAGAACTACGTGAATTTTGAAATTTTTATAAAATAGGTCCATTTGGTGAAATTAAAAGTGAACAGTTTCCTACAAATTCGCTTGAAGTAGCACTTTTTATAAAATAACTATACAATCACATGAGTTTCGAATGTATAATAAAATTGGTTCGTTCTTGAAACCGTAAGTATCAGTTTCCATGCCTCTTAAAATCTCCCAGTACAGGTTTCCTTAGTCGCCAGTGGTTGAAACGGTTGGTCAACCGAAAACAGTGAAACCTGATGCAATCTCGGCAGAGACAATCCGACGGGAAATGACAAGCGACGCCGCCGTTCAATGGCGAATATAGTCTTAAGAAGTAGGAATAAAAGGAGGAAAAAGTGGGAATAGAAACTATGGAGAGGTTCGTATTCAAGGATGGATTGATTTTTAGTCGATTGAATCGAGTAAACGGTATTCTATGTGGCACCTTATCGTTGCTTAGATTTCACCGCCGTTAAGAGTTTACGGCCGCGCCCGTAAAACCGGCACCAGACGACATCAAACCTGTCGTAATTGAAATAACGTTTATCGTACCCTAACCAGAATCACGCCATCTCGGCGTATTGTTTGGCTAAAACATTTTTCGAATGACCACTTTAATACTTGCGCAGCTGTTACGACACATATGTTCCACTAATTGTTGCGGTATTAATTTTTTATAAGGAAAGGGCAAGGCATTCGAGTCATCGATTTAATTGAAATTTTGCATACTAGTAGATTTTGCCTCTGTGTTTAGGATAACGCAGTACTGAGGAGCTAGGAATTCGATAGTTTTTTTTTATATTTATTATTAATAGAAACGAATTTTGTGCCTTAAGTTTCAATCATTTGTCATAAACCGACAAAGAACACGCGTCGCACGTCTGCGAGGCTAATACCGAACGTGTTAGTCCTATCCACTTTGTCGACATAAAAACAAAAAAATATTTTTAGTATTATGAAAGCACGCCAAATGAACAGTAAAAACCTCGGACGGATGAATCGTGCCGTTCGTTCGAAATAAATTCGCGAAAAAGAAAGAGAACGACTATCCCCTTAACGATAACAGGGCCCATTGGATGCTCTCGCGGAAAATATGGTTCGCCGAACAAAATCGGTGTTATTGAAATCTCCGTAGGAGAGTGGCCGCTCGAAATACGCGAAATTGTTTAATCACGGGATTATGGGTCGGTGGGCGTGGGGAGGGCGATAGATTTTTTTTCAACGTTTCGGGGCTGTTCGATGGACTGTGATAACATCGTTGTATGTATATATGTCCTGAGAACAATGGAAAACGCCGCTCAATTCCGCCGATTGTCGATTTCCGTTACGGTATAGGAGAGGGGGGAGAGGGAGGGGGAGAGAAAAAAAGGAAAAACCATGTTCGTTCGTGTTGTAAAATAAAAAAATCGGCCGACCGTGCGAATGGATCGGTGTTCATTGTCGAGCGAAGACCATCGCGCGCGTTTTCATCGGCCCTCAGAAACTAAATGCATCGTGCACTCGAATTAATTCGAGTTCACATGCATCCATGCTTTTTACCCCACCCCTCAAAATTCAGTACGGCCGTCGAGCAGCAGTATTTTATAACGGCGTAACCGCGACGAGTGAAAACATCTTCGGTCCTCTCCTTTCAACGGTTACGCGCGCGCTCCTCTCCTGTCTTTTTCATTTCTCCCAGTTTCCTTTTTCCCCTCCCTCTTTTTTCCACGCTGTTGTCCGCCTTTCTTCGCGCAGCCTCGCTTTGGTTGATTTCAATTTATTACGCTCGTTACCGTCCCATCCGAGTTACCTATGCTGCCGTGTAATCTTTCGACCCCTCGCCTCTACTCGCCTCGCTTGAATTCACGGACGGCAATGTTGTGCCAACAAGGGTGTTAACCGAACCAGCCTTCGCGAGCTCTTTCACGCTCAACAGAATCCACCGGAGAAAGGGCTTTATTGCCTTTAATTGCCGCGTTTAATGGAAAGACGCGCGTCATTCGCGACATTTAGTAAACGTTACAGACCGTCGCGTCGGGTAGCACAGGTGAAACGTTAACGGATGAGTAAGACTCGAAAGAGAGAAACAGGAGAGATTAAAGGTGTCGTTTTTCGCATTTTATTGCGATCTTTGCTTACCTGGTGGCAAATGCCGAGCACAGGAGATGTTGTAAGAGTCAGATTAAAAAATTGATACAAAACGATGGTAAATAAATGTTTTTCAATGATTATGGTATTATGCTCTTTATGTTTCTTTTTTTAACCATTCGTTGTACGTCCATACCCCCTAGGAAAATTCTTCTTACGGTACAGCTTTAGCGAGCTTGGGTTAATATTAGGTGTAGACATTAATTCCATGCCTTTATATTCAATCATTTATAACTAGACTGCACATTTGATGCATTTATGATATAAACTAGTCTAATAAACAGATTCTATTGCTGATAGTCAGTGCAATGTACCTATGCACCTATACACACAACCTAAGGCTGAACCTGAAAGCCATTACAATTTATCTACGTATACAAAGTTCAGTAGACAACAAATTTTGCTTATTGCTGTACTTGATAATTATTAATATTGTTATGTTAATTTACCAACTTTCCTCCACCTGACTTCCAATGCAATGAATATGGATCTCCATAGAAAACTTCAAAAAAGTAAAAAAATTACGCCAAGTACATGAAAAAGTGAAGAACGAAAAGGAGTAATCACAAAAAAAAAGAGAAGATCTCCATAAAAAACTACAAGAAAGTAAAAGAAGATATGTAATCGAAATGAGCAGCCAGTACATGAAGGTGCTTTCCAGCAAAGTGCAAAGGCGACACTGTGTAACACAATGTAAAATTCGATGCTTTCCAACTATGCTGCAGCTAAAATGCTGAGTTCAACAGTGCTGACGTTCAGACCCTAATAACAACTCGTGTAAAGTGACAGTGCACGGATCGAACGACTCTGGTAGACCGTGTCACTCGCACCTTTTTTTTTTTTTTTTTTTTGTAAAACTCCCATATTTCAATCTCGTTTTGTTTTTTAATTATATTACACCAAAGAAGACTTAAAATCTGCATGTTTTATTTGGCTATGTTGAAAAGACAATTGTTCCGGGTTCCTTTTCTATACACTAGCATCATTTAGCGTCCTTTAAAGGGTAGCACCACTGTAAAAGCCTAAACGAGAATCAAGAACATACACACGTTACGTTCCTCGAGCACTTAATGCAAAACAGTTTATCAATTCCTCGGGAGAAATTCTCGAGGCTTATTTACAACGGTGCCGAGAGTTTACTTGAACCCGATCAGTCTGCTTCTTGTCCAGTAGTCCGAGCTTTGTGCGATCCCAACGATGCTGGAATTCTCATGCAAGCGGTTCGATATTGTCCTCGGGTGGTCGGCCCTCGCCACTGCTAGACCACTTGTTTGTTTTCGTTTACGTTTATAGACCTGCAATTTATTAGGACATTTCAGCGGAAGAACAAGAAACACGGAGTGCTACGAAAATGAAGAGTCAGAGCAGACCTTGGAACACGCCAAACCAAAACCACTTAGTGTTTGTTCTGCGAAGACTCGCGAACATTTCTCTCCGATCTTTGACCTTCGCAGTTAAACACAGATCAATTCCACTTTGTTAGCCAAGCGTTTCCAACCGCTTAACCAGTCAGCTATGTTCGACGAGTATACTCGTCGTGGAGAAGTAGCAATATTTCGTGTCACGACGAGTATACTCGTCATGCGTAAACACTAGTGACCATTGTCTACTTAAACTGTCATTTTAGCAAAAACTAAAACATATTCGCAAATCTCAAGATATCTTGAATATTTTGAGGCCAGGCCGGAATAAAACGAGCAAATAAATAATATGAATAATTTGAGACGAACTCATGCGCCCTCGTATGCACTGAACAGCTTGTCATTTCACCGAATTTATTTATGTGTGATGATAACATCCGAATTCACTTAACTATCGAGTGGTGTAACTCCCAATTCCTTAAGGTGGTTTGGTCAAAAAATGATAACAGTTCAGATCGTCTTATAACTTTGAAAACTTAAAATTTAAATCTTAAGGTACACCGACGAAACGTAACTCAAATAACTCATTATATTGGTTCCGTATGTCGATGATTCCTCGTTCTTCCCTTTTAGATTTCTTAGACTCAATCTACACAGATATTAATTAAAAATAATGTAAAAATATGCGTTGCTTTGCGTTGCAGGCCGCAACGAGCTGATTGCCCGCTACATCAAACTGAGAACAGGCAAGACGAGAACGCGAAAGCAGGTCTCTTCGCACATACAAGTCCTTGCTAGGAGAAAACTTCGTGAAATGCAGGCAAAACTCAAAGTGGTGAGTATCCAAAGGTCTTCCGCTCGCTTTCCGTAGTTGAATGCTCGCACTTTTCTTTGCTCGCGTACGAATACAAAGGTCTGGACGTTTTGTGACAGCGATCGAACGGCCTAACATTTCACAATCAAAAGTTCAAGTATTAGGTGTAGAAATTAATTCTGTACCTTTGCATTTAATCGTTTATACTAGGCGTAGAAATTGATACTGTGCGTTTGTATTCAATCATTTGTAACTTTAGTTTAAATAGAAATATCTATTCGTCATTTTGTTATGTTAAAGTACCAACATTCTAAGTTATCCATTCTAAGTTTTGTTACAATGAATCTATACATTGCATAACCTAAGCCTTAACCTGATGACCATTGCAACGTATGTTACATAAGTAAAGTGTCGATAGAAAAAAATGAAGGCGCCGTCGGTTTAAACAACGTGAAAATGAATTAACGAAAAAACAAAATGATCGCCCGAGGTATACGATATTCTCGATTTCCATGCGTCGGTTCTGTTTTCATGCTTCTTCCCTCCCCCCCCCCTCCCCCCTCCCCTCCGGTCCCGTTCGCGTCGGTTCGTATCGCGCGGGAATTAATTGTCAATACAGAATTCGTTCGATCAGGACCGACGCAGTGTAGATTGTAATGGAATAAATCACGCGTAAAAATGAACCCTGGCCCGTTTAATCAACAGCTGAATTATTAAAGCGATTTCGGAACAATTGCGCGCCTTTTAATAAATCACAGTGCTGTGCATTCGCCGGTTCCATTCGTCGACGCGAGCCCGAAATGGAGGAGGACGGAAAACACGGGGGTGCGCATTGTTTGCACATGCTCCAACTAGGCTGAACCCGAAAATAAAAAGAAACAACGCGAAAACGTTTATTAAAGCGATTCAACTGCGCGTCACTGTTAACTCTTTGAGGGTTCGCGATTTAAAAGAAAAATACAGCTCGAGCCACATAGAAGACCAGCGTCAACGATGTACTAATGCTTCTGGATTCTTACAAATTTCTCTTTTCCATTGTTTAACGCTAAACCACCAACCGTGAGGTGATCGTTTTCAAATTTTGATGTACAAGTTCTTTATATAGATACAATATCTGTTAAGAGTACAAATTAATTTTGTGTTTTTATGTTCAATCGTTTGTAACTCCCATATACATGAAACAATAATATATGTTTGCATAGCGAGTATGTTAACTTTGACAATGTAAATGCATACGTAAAACGCTGGAAAACCAAACACACAAAAAAATAGTGTTTTTTGTTTCAATTTTGAAGGATGCCCATTTCTCGTGTATACAACAAAAATTAACCTTTAAACAAAAAAAAAAAAAAAGAAACGTCTCGATAGCACTTAGATAAGGTACTATGTTATTAAAAAATGCTTGAATATGTCAATGGAAAATTATTATTCAAAAATTATTCCACGGAAAATTAGACACTAAATGGAGCAGGTTTTGTGCAAATTTAACCCTTTGACTGCGGGACGATTTTTGTTGGAAATTCGAAGAGGCGTAATGAGATGTGAATTTAAAAGAAATTTCAGCTTATAGGGAATGATAAGACGGAATGTTGTTATATTTATAGTTTATTCATACGACGTTTAGTTTCAAAGATAAAAATTGAAAACTTAGTAGACACTTTCCCTGAAATTCTATTTTTGCAACGAACTTCCAATTTTTCAATTTTTATTTTTGAAACTAAGCGTCCTGTGAATAAACAGCAAATATAAAAAAGTTTTGTTACATTGTGCTTTATAAGCTGATATTTTTTAAAAATTGATTTAACGAATACAAACATTTTACTGAGTGAGCCCATTTCTCGAGGACGGATACATACGCCCTTCACAGTCAAACGGTTAATGAGAGGCTTGAACAAAAATGAATTTTTAAACATGTGCTTATGTCTTTTTCTTCGGTAAAATCTTTTAAAATTTGGAATGGATCAGAATGACCATGCTTCGTAACCTTAGTGTTAAGGAAATGTCAAAAGTCCTAGAGTAGAACACTCTCTTAAGCGAATCGCGGGCTGCAGTTGCAGCGACTGCATCTGGTACTGCAGTGGCCGCATACCGTGGGCATTATTCAGAGAACCAGCCGGTGTACGGACAGTCCAATGTGACGTAATTTTCTGGTTTCCGCGTTTCACGTGGGGCGAACACCGCCGAGCCCTGCTTACGCTGGGATCCCCGCGATTTATTCCACGGGAAAAGAATTTTTAGGCACGCTGTTTACGTTTCCTGTGGTCGCGCCTTATTTAATTTCTACGCGTCCCCTACCATTAAAGACCATTCGCGGCGAACCGTACCGTAGCCGTAATTTTTCTCGCCGCGCTGTTGTATCAAACTTTTGCGAGAGCTAGAAGTCCAGAATCCAGAGTCCACAAAAACTGTCCCAAACTGGACAATGTTTTCAGATTTCGGCAGGACAAGCGGCCATTCGCACAGCTAAGCGCGTAGAATATTATTTTTCTTCGGGAAAAAGTTTTTCATTAATTTGTACGGGTCTGTAATTTGTAAAATATTTGGGTCTGTTTATATCTGTAATAAAAATGATTGTAGGGAAGCCTCCAGTGCTCGACTATATTCGACCAACTGATGTTATGAATGACGATGCTCAAATGCTTCTATTCAATAATCTTACAATTAGAAAAAACTCTTCGAATTTCCACCAATAGCAGACTCGAGCGCAAACTTCCTACAGAAGGAAAACCGATATCTCAAAGATTTCTGTGTGAAATTAATTTAAAAAATTACCAAGTGTATTTTAAAGCATACTTAAAATATTCTCAAAGTTAAACAAAAATTGTAACAACTTTTTCTGTATAAAAAAAAAGTCAAAAACACTTAACCTTTGTCTTCCTATGTGGGTTTCCTTCTTTAATTGAATCAAGTTCTAAGTATCACGGATTCGATCCAATATTATCGAATATCTTCCAAAATGAGTGTTTTCCCTCGATCGCGTTCGCTAGGACCGAACACAGTGTATTAATTTTCCACGCGAACCGATTTATCGATATTGTAGCGCCGTGAAATTCAAAACGTGCTGGACTAGCAACAGACACGACAATTTTACGATGTGAATGAGAATCTACATCGAGTTTCTGATGTGATGCGATATTTAAATACGGCTTGCATTGGTTGAAAATTAATCACGATTCAATTTCACGTATAGTAAATAGCGGGAAATATATATAATTAACATCGATGAAAGGAAATGGAGGGGACTGAAGTAATGACATTCGCTAATTCCCACGTGCACGTTGTGTTGGAATATCGGAGGAAAGGTGCTGCATACAGTTTTACTTTACATTTTGTTGGTTTTTTGTTGGATAATGACAAATGTTATTAATCTAACAGATTACAAGTGTATTTGGTAATTATTAGGTGTATAAATAAATTCGTTCCCTTGTTATCATATATTCGATGTTTATTTATAAGAAAAAGGAATACACGTTATGTTTCAAAGTAATCACCATTACTTTCTACGCACTTGTTCTACTTTTCGGCTAGTTGGCGGATTCAGTTTCTATAAAAAGATGGTGGTTTTCATTCAATAAACTCATTAATGCTTTTTTCGACTTTTTCGAAAGATTTGAAATGAGAAACAACCAAATGGTGTTGTAGCGACCGAAAAAGATGATAATTTGAGGGGGCCATATCTGGAGAATATGTCGCATAAATAAGAATCATTTTTGTAGCAGCAAAAATGCTCAGCAGCATTTTTCTTCAACTGAAATCCAAAAAGAATACAATGTCTAATGTGCTCTTTCTGAAACGTCATGGTGCGAAGTATTGTTTTTCGAGGTTATATACCAATTAGGTTAAAGTTACATAGTGAAGTTAGTAACGTGAAGCTAATATCTTAAGACACCGATCGGCGGGGAAAAAATTTCAATTAAAAATGTAATTACAGCTGAATATATGTAAAGGTACCGAACTTATTTGTGGACCTAATACAATAATTGTAAGAGTATACTAATAAGTAAACTTTCATGGCTACTAAAGTTCCTATAGGTGCATTGTAATGACCATCAGGTTGAGACTTAGGTCGTGTGTGCAGATACATTGCAATGGCCATCGGGTTAAGACTCACGTTATATCTATAGATACATTGCAGTAACCATCAGATTGAGACTCAGATTATGTGTACAATTACATTGCAATGACCATTAGGTTGAGACGTAGATTATGTGTATAAATACATTGCAGCATTGTACTTCGATATACCAAAATGATAAGTAAGATATGTGTTTAAACTAGAGTTATGAATAAACTGCGTATTTTTATGTATTCATAGGAAATGTGAATGTGCACGAAACTACGAAATACATACATTACGTAATAACATAAAAAAATATCGAAAATAAAGTTTATATTATATTTGTCGAATAAAATAAATCCCTACTTAGGTTCGATTTTTGTAGGTACTTTTGCAAAAAATGTTATTATTGTAAAGATCCACAGTCTAGTTACAAATAATTATATTCAATCGTTATATCGAACGACACAGTATTAATTACTACACCTAATACCTTGGATTTAGGGAGTAAGTGTATAATTGCGAGGGATAAACCCGTGCGTTTCGGTCTCGAGTAACGAGGGGTTAATCGAAACGCATCATTTTTCCCCGGTGAAACGCATTCTTCCGAGATCGGCTCGCGCAATCTATGTTCGAAATAATCCCGGTCGAGCGTTACGGTGTAATTGATTGTTGCGGTGTAAACGTAGCCCCGATAACTGACGATACCCAAAAACGGCCGAGCGGCGTTTCAGAATGTCGATAAACATGTCCAGCCCGTTACCCGCCCAATCCTGCATTCCTCGCGTGTATTTGCGCGATGAGGGGTTGCAGACAGGGACAGCGATACCCAGGCGAGACAGAGAGAACGAGAGATGCGAAAATTAAAGCTAGAAAAAAAAAAAAAGAAGCGGAACGTGGGATGGGGGGGGCGGGAGGGGGAAGGGAAGAGTACGCGATGTGCCTCTCTCTCAATTAACCGAATTGATTTTCCACTGCAGATTCACCACGACCGCTGCACGGTGAACAACGGGGACCCGCGGACTCGAATAGATTTTTCGCGTGCGGCGCCGATTTCGCGATAATCGTTTTTTAAATTCGAAAATTCGTCCGTCCGCGTTCTTTTTAATAAATCACACCGCTCGAAAATAAAACCGGCGCCCGCCTCTTGTTCCCTCGTATCAGTCGCGCACGCGAACCGAGCCCTCGCACGGCTACGGGCGATTTTTATTCGCGCATTGTGCAAGCTCGAGGACGCGTGTTGCGGCGTATTTATGGAGGATTTACGATTCGATCGAATGCATACACGAACAGCGCTCCGATATAACCGTCGCATCGCAGAGTAGGTACTCTTGCACAGACGAAACCTCGACCTCGACGTTTTTCAGATCCCTGTTCCGAACAACCATATGCATCTTCTAAGAAGCCCTATCTCGGATGTATTAAGTGTAGAAATTTCGTTTGTAACCACGCTCCGAATTTTTATGCTTTTGTAGGAAATTTAAACGCGCAAGAAACTGCAAAATGCAGTATGCAATAATATAAAAAAAAAAAATATTGAAGGTAAAAATCGTATTATAATGTTCGCAGAATAAAATAAATTCCTATTGAGGTTCAATTTTTCTAGGTACATTTGCAAAGATTTTCATTTGCATAAAGGCTTGCAATCTACACATTTATAACTCTAGTTTAAGCAGATACACTTACTCGTCATTTTAGTATATTTAACTTTCTAATTGGAAGTCCTCAACCTGATCTCTATTGTAATGTATCTATATCTATACACATAACTCGAGTCTTAACCTGATGGACATTGCAATGTAATTGGCTTAATATTATATAGTTGATTGCTATAAGAACTTTAGTAGCCATCAAATTTTGCATATTATTATAATTAGCAAGTTCTCAACATGATGGCCATTGCAATGCAATTCCTTAGTATTATATATTTGATGGCTATAAGAACTTTAAAATCCATCAAATTTAACATATTAATTTACTACCACAATTATTATAATTATCAAACGCACTTGTAATCTGTTAAAAAACAGCAATAAGAAAACATGTCTAGCTACATGTAGCTGTTCGAAGCTTTGTAACTTTGTCAAAATTGAATCGAATTGAAAAATTCAAAAATGGTTGCATTCGTCTCATTGCCAGTTACAACTTTTATTTCAAGAAATAAAACGACTTCAATTTAAAGAAATGAATGAAATCTCGAAAGTGACACCATCTACAATAAAACTGATAACGCCAGCTTATGTCCTCCGTGGAATCGTACAACTTTTGTCTAAATTATTTTGTTCCATTCTTCTATAGTTCGGAGATATCCAGCTGAATTCATTAAAATGGTTCACCTTGTATTACAAAATGACGATTAAATATTTCTACTGAAACTAGAGTTATAAATGATTGAATATAAAGGCACAGAATTAATTTCTATATCTAATACATGTATAAGTTAGATGTACAGTAACGTCTCGTTAAACGCACAAATTTGTCCAGGATAAGTGCACAGAAACCAGCCCCAGTATATTCTTTGATGTTCGCCGCCGAGTGTCGATTATAGACAAGTACAACGGGTAAAGAAGAGGACAGAGCGAAAAAACACCGAGGTATGTCAGTGAAACAATGTAATACAACGGTGAAGCTTTTTTATCATTAACTTTTTTGTTGTAAAACTTTTACCATCATATTCCTGACATTTTCTAATTAAAACGAAAACAATCACGATATAATTCGGACGATATTTAACATTGATCTTTTTCTAGTTAGTGTTTACGATATATGATAGATAATAAGTGGTTAGAAGTAAATATGTTGCGAATTATGTCGTGTTTGGTCTCATTTTAATCAGAAAAATGACGAAAATATGATGGTCAAAGTTTTACAAAAAAAAAAAAAGTTAATAATAAGAAAGTTACATCGTTGCATTACATTGTTTCAGCGACATGCCTCGGTGTTTTCGCTTCGTTCTTCTTCTTTATTCGCTGTCCTTGTCTACGGGCGTCGGCAAACATAAAAAAATATACAATGTCCACGTTAGTCGCATAAAATCAGTCCCCGAGCTTGTGCGTCCAACGAGACATTAAGTACTGTATCAAGTTTGAAAAATTTATGAAGATTATTTTGGCTGTAAAAAAAATCATAAAAATTGCCTCGAAGGGTAGGCTTTGCCCGTCAAGTGTCAATATAATACGTGTGCTAAATGTTCGAATAAATCCAATCCGATTAGGCCGATTCGGTCCCTCTGGGTTAACAAGATTAACAGAGGTGCGTACACACGGTGTACAGACGTCCACGGGATAGGAGGTCGAGAGAATAGGGAGCGACAGAAAAAAGTTAAGAATTTTTTGATGCGCAGAACCACCAGTACCAGAACCCTTTGCAGTTGGCATTGTTACGCGGCACGCTTCATTCCGAACGGCAGAGCTTGTAATGGCTCTTCTATTACGGATTTATGAACGAGATTGAAAAGCCCTGTACCGTCGGGCGGGGTTACGAGGGGGAGACGCGCCAATTTCCCGGATATCACGTGAACGAACCTCTCATTCGCCTCGTCAGCGATTTTCGGTCGGGAGCCGCTGATTAAAACGACGGCTTTCCGATAAAAGCGCAAAATTCCCGCGAATTTCGCAACCGAAAACCAGGCTCGTTTCTGCAATCAACTGCATTGCCGTTTCTCGATAGCGATCGATGACATCAACTACGGTCAAGTTAAAATAGCGACAGCAGCGGGGCAGGGAGAGAGAGGGCACCGACGGCAGATGAAGAAATTATGCAACGACGAGTAATCGCTTATCGATTTAATTTTATCTGCGCGGCTTCCTCTAAATGCCAATGGGAAATTAAAATTAAAAGTTTTGCAAACAAAGTTTCCCTGATACTTTTACTACCTTGCGACTTTTCTCGATCGTACTGAAAATTACGCGCAGTTTGTGCAACGAATACGATTTTCTTTAAACATTTTTATTCGATGTATGTATTCGCTTTTAAATATATACCGGGACAAAGCATTATGATCAAATTTACAATATTACAATCGCCAAATTTAAGTAAGTTACGATTAAAAATGTTTGAAATAGAATTTTATTAACTGGTTACAGAAATGATATAAGTTTGTACAGCTTTTTGTTATAAAAAGGAAATTGTGGTTCAGAATCGTCTCAGCTCCATTTCTGGTTCTTACACTAATTCTGGGACACTCTGTATAATAAATAAGCAGTTTCGTTACGTTTGGAGTCGTGGCACGTGTAAACAAACTCTCTAATACTTTTTTTAATCAAATCAGACATTATATTTTGCGTTAGCAATGCACAATACCACATGATACATGCGCAGAAGAAAGAAAAGAGGACAATTTGAGCATATCGGGTGAAAAGTGCGAGCATTCGAGGAATTGCGTGTAGAATGGGAAATCTCGTAAACTTTTTAACTAGTCCAGCCAAATACAGAAAAAATGAAGTTTAAAGAAGGATCTAAAGAAGTAACTGTAGCAACTCCATGTTAAGAACGGCATTACAAAATCAGTGTTTGTTTGTTCGAAAGTTCAATAAATCCTAATGAAAATTTGAAAATATTCTAGCGTGCAGTTTCTTAAAAAAAAAAAATGTCTAAAAACACCTCTCTTTTTTCGAGCCGTTAAAACGTTGCACCCTCTTATGGTATTATACATAAAAATATGTTTAAAGAAGCGAGTGTGTCGATGCTTGTTTCCCAAACTGTACTTGCGATGACTCCTCGTTATCAACAGCGACAACGCGTTGTAATCGGTTTGACAATTTGTTAGGATCATGCCGCCAAGGAGAAGGCGCTCCAGACAATGTCGAGCATGTCGAGCGCCCAGATAGTATCAGCTGGGAGTGCGATACACAACAAGATGCCCCCCGCCCTCGTGGGGCCCCTTGCCCTTCACGCTTCCACCCCTATCTCCTATCCCGGAGCGGTAAGTCCCGAATCACGGAAAAAAAAAAAGAAACCCTTGGATGAAGTATTTTGATCGGCCTGCGATTCTCCTTAAACGAGCCACGAGCTTTGGGGTGAGACGACAAGACACGTCGGTGACCACGAAAAGAGAGAAAGATCGTTCCGCTTTCGCAAACTAGATACGTAACGCACGCGAAACGAGACTGCTCGATCCGTACTGGTGTCCTTTTGAACGGGGGCCTCGTGTAAATCGAATTGTCGCGAATCGCCAATTATCGTTATCGAAGCGTTCCCCTGCGGTCGGGTATGTTCGAGGCGTCACGACAATCGCTGTTCGATCGAGTTGGAGAAGAGTCGAGAACGGTGTCTCGTCGTCTTGAGAAAGTTAACTTTCATCGCTACACTGTCGGTTTGGCTTCTTCTTTAAAGTTCGTATCTGTTTTTTTTTTTTTCTAACCGCTTCGCCCTGTAACCAGTCATTCCGCTTGCCAAAGAGCGGTCGTCATGTGGTTTGTTAAGGGGTATTCTAGTCTAGAACATCGATCTTTAGATAGTCTTTTGGATCTTTTTGTTTACGTCCATGAGGATTTTTTATTTTCTTCTTTATTCGTATTTTAAGAGTACACGTCGTTTACTTTCAACAAAACGTAATGCAAGTAATCTTGTACAGTTCCTTTTCGAAAAAGTATCTTCATGGTTGTCTTCTCCCTTGGTATCAGCGTCGCTGTGACCCGAAAAGAACTGGAAATATTATGAACCTTAGATATTGATTTTGTTATCATCCGTATCGCGTAGAAAACTGTAGAAAAAAAATCAGATTTTGAAAATCGTTAAATGCACATGTTCCGGAACTTCACTCCAAATTTCATAGTCATTAGCTCAACTAGAAGACTAGTACTCGACATGGCGATCATTTTAAAAAACATGATTATCTGGAAATCGTATTTAACACTGAACCTACCACGACCGGTCAAATGACCGTTTTCAAATTTCTATATGCAGTTCTTATATGCTATATACGAATTAGACATGGTGACCCAGAATTAGTGTAAGAACTGGAAATGGGGATAGTTGAGACGATTCCGAACCACAATTTCCTTTACAAAAATGTCGGATGGCGCTTCGTTTTTGAATTATTAACGAAACGTCATCCGACATTTTTGCAAAGGAAATTGTGGTTCTGAATCGTCTCAGCTACCCCACATTTTCTGTTCTTACATTAATTCTAGGACACTCTGTATACAATTGTTTCGTGCATTATTCAATTCAGTTCCATGTAAAATATTTTTGCATTCAATTGAAAAAAGTGCCTTTAAGACTAGTCACTTTTCCCATAACGATAAAAATTGTTACAAATGAACGTCGGTAGGTTAAGCGTTAATGTTTATCATCTCTTTAGACTAACTTCTCTCGAACTTTGTAAAATGCTTTAGCAGTTATAATTTTGAAGGCGAACACTTTGTGAAAGTACCAAAAAAGGAAAACATATGTTTTGAAAGTTCTAGACTAGAATATACTAGAATACCTTCCCCTTAAACGACCTAATTTTCATTCACATCAACCTGTCTCAAAAGTTTCTTTCGCGACTTCCACTCAGCTGTTTCGTCTGGCAGTGTTTACATGAATAAACAATCCTATTTCTTGGAAGTTGATGTTAACCTTTTCACTAAAAAATGCTTAGTCATCGTCCAACTATCGTGGAGGGCATTTCCTTCAAGTTGAAGAATTGTTCGCGTCATTTCGTATGCCCTTAACTGTGGAAAATCAAAGAAAATTCTACCTCACTCTCCATACGGTGTGATTATTATTTATTCCTTTTGTTAAAGAATTCTCTTCACGATAAAAGGTCTAGTTCAGTAAATGAAATAAAAATACTTTGTTCATCTTCAGCATGCTAGAAAATGATAAAAAATCGATAGATTTTTTAAATGTTGGTTCGTACGATATCGGCACATTTTCTAAAGATTGTGTTCAAATTTTAAGTAGATCGGTGGATTAAATCTTAAGATATCGTGTCAGCCATATAAAAGAAATGAGGTTTTGAGACAAACGCATTTAAAGTTTCTCCTATCGATTATATGGAAGTACGTATACTTGCGATTAGTCCTCCAATCCGAACCGTACAATGGACTTTCCTCTTCTTCTGTTTTTTTTTTTGTTATTACCAAATTTTTGTTCTTTTTTTTATTGACAATAATTATAATTATAAAGAACTAAACGTCTACATATGTGGCTAAGGGCGTGAAGAGGTTAAATAAAGGTCGAAACAGGGAGAAAAATATACATACTAATTGCGAAACGGTGTCCTTCAAACATCTATGTGTAACTTCGTTACTTTTGCGGGTATCAGTACATATCCTGTTGCAGATATATCTTTGAAGACATATACTTTATGGAAAAAAAATTAAAAAAAAAATCGACTTATTCAAAGTTAAAATTGGAAATACCCTTTAAAAGTCACCGGTTAAATTACACGTCAAGGCTCTATTTCGTGTTTCGACATTGTTCGAACGTCGACCCGGCATTTTCCTTTCGCGCTTTGATCCATAATAATACTTGTCTGTTCGACAAAGTGTCTTTTCTAAGAATAAAGGACAACGGTGCAATAAGTCGCGAAAGGTAGCTTTTCTTCCTTTGATTTCGTTTCTGTCATCCCTCTTTTCTCGGTCTGTGCTTCTCTCTTCCGCTTATCGATTCCTCTTTCTTGTTCGCAGCGCGCTTTAAGTACGGCTCTCTCGTCCAGAAAAAAAAAAATAAAAAATAAATGAATGAACGAAAACGGAACCAGAGAAAAAAAAAACAGCATTTCGAGCAGCGAGTTTGCATTTTCTTTTTCTTCGTCATGGAAGCTTGCGCGACAAAAACTAACCATCCTCGAAAAAACGATACCCCTCGCTCTCTGCTGCTACGCCCCTGGGGGCCCTTGTTGTGTATTGTTCGATTTGTCCGTCGCTCTATCTTTTACATATGTATCACCTGGGCATATATACACACTTACATACACGGGTTGCATACATATCTATACATACATACACAATATGTATGTATGTATGTATGTATGTATGTATATACACGTATTTTTTTGGCATAATTATGCGTTGTGAAGCGTCATTGTGGCTTACCAAACTGTCTTTCTCTCTTCACATAATACGACTACTATTATTTTCCTTCACTTATGTGTACATATATTTTTTTTTCTCATTTTTTGTGTGTTTTTTTTTCTTCTTTCGCCCTGTTACGAAGCTGATCGCGATCGCACCTCACCCGAGGGCTCGATGGCTCACGGAGAAAAATGAGATATCTTCCTAGCGCAATTGTTAACTTATTTCTGTAGAATTTTGCATGGAATTTGATTAAAAGTCTGACGGAATATATAGATGACAAACACAGACGAACAGGAAGACACCTCGTTTCTTCTTTCAAAATCATCAAAAAGTAGAGTCTGGTTTATTTCTACAAATCCAACAGTTTCCAAGAAATTTAGTATTTTATCATCGATGTTTTTTTATTTTTACGCAAATTATTGGGATGAACCGAAAGTTTTTTCCCATTTTTTCTTCCTTCTTTCTGCGTTCATTTTGAACGAATATTTAAACCGAATAAAAGTGTTTAAGTTTTATATTACATATACCATTTCGTAGGTATTGAACTGCTATTTCTCCTTAAATTTATATTATCGAGTTTGCAATAATGGTGTAGGAGGTCGCGAACTTCAATTCTCTCGATAATTTCGTCTAAATTAATATAATCAGAAAACGTTCAGTAGTACTTAATCCACAAATGCTACATGTAACATAAGACTAGAGTACTTACATTTAGATTAAACATTCGTTGAAGAATAACATAAACAGAAGGAAAGCTGTTTATTATCTGGCTACAACTTTTGACTTATAGCCAACCCTAATACAATTAACACTGAACCTGTCACAACCAGTCAAATGTCCGTTTTAAAACTTTTGTATACAGTTCTTCTCTGCAATGTATGAATTATATACAATCGTTTGATTAGTCTTTAAGACTAATCATTTGTTCGATCACGGTAGAAATAGGAATAAATGAAACCTCGGTAGGTTTAGTGCTACATTCCTAAAAAATAAAAATGAATAAAATTCAATTGGAAAAGGTTAAATGCAACAGCAGTGTCTCACTCCGTGATATTCGCTACGTTCCAGGGAACTGTTGGACGTTTTATTCTAGAAATAAATCTGAACATTTTAAACTGCGAAGCAGTTAACGTTTAAAGGTAGCAAAAGGAAACCAGGATGTCGTCTTTTCAGCAATTTTGGCCACCGGGTCTCCAGCCAGGAACGTCGCAAGATGTCAAGCCGTTCTCGCAACCGGCGTACACCGGGAAACCGGCGACGGCAGTCTCGAGCGGTGACATGGTCCAGGCTCAACCACCCCCGCCCTGGGAAGGACGTGCCATCGCAACCCACAAGCTCAGACTTGTAGAGTTCTCGGCCTACATGGATCAGCAGAGAGACCAAGATATTGTAAGTACTCCAATATTCTCAATGAAGGTATTAGCCAATATTTTATATACAACTGTTTGTAGCAAACATGTCCTTTTGTTTATAATTAAACGTGTACTTCTATCCACTGAAATTTAAAAGACTGCAGTACTTTTACCCTAAAAGAAACGAAATGGTTAATAGTTTGATAGAGTTAATGAAATTTAATTTGTCTCTGTTATTTTTATTGAACTTTACATTCAAGTTAATCCTCTGCACTTGAAGCTATTTTGTTGCTGAATGTGCTAACTGGAATTATGTCATATTGAATAATGTAGCATTAAAAGCATGTAATTTATTGTAACGGGTATGATGAATTACCATTCATTCTATCCTTCGGAAATATCCAGCTGGATTCATTAAACTGGTCCACCCTGCATACCTCAGTATGCATACCACATTGTTGTTTTTTTCCTACTTGAATGGAAACCATCAAGGAAGCATACACCTCTGAAAATGTTGCGCTCGAGTGAATTTATCTTGTGTAGTCTCTGCCAAAGTTCTCTGGGCTTCCAATGCTCCCTCAGAGGAAACATCCAAGTGCAACGGTTTAAAATGCTTAGGCAAAGTTCACTTAAAGCACAATAAATAGGTTTATGCGTCAAAGAAAACGTTCCCCTTCTGATATACTGCAAAAGAATCAAGTAGACGCAAAAAGCTAGATCGTTAGGTGGTCGTTTGAATTTCTCGGTAGAGGGTTCGACGCGTTTGCCAGTGCTCAGGGAAAAACTAAATTACCGTTCGTACTTCTGATGACCGTCATAAGTCTTATCGGTGCTCGTAATATCCGAGAAATCCGAATATACTGACTGAAAGTCGTAATCTGACTTTAATGAACGTCCAAACGTTTCTTTTGCGTTTCCAGTACCACAAACACCTGTTCGTCCATATAGGAGGATCCGCGACTTACGCGGATCCGCTGCTGGAGGCTGTTGATGTTAGGCAGATATATGACAAATTCCCGGAGAAAAAGGGTGGCCTAAAGGAGCTCTACGACAAGGGACCCCAGGCAGCCTTTTTCCTTGTTAAATTCTGGGCTGATCTCAATACGAACATTCAGGACGAAGCTGGAGCCTTCTACGGGGTGACAAGCCAGTAAGTTATGAAATTTTCATATTTTCCTAAGTTATTATCTTAGGTGGGTTGACGCATAATTATCCAGCATAATTATTTTTTAACACGTTGATCCCCATGTCAGCCATATATGGTTCAGTGCTCCTTACTGAAGAACTAAACAAGTTTCATTGTCGCTAATGCGAGTGTCTTTTGAACAGGTACGAAGGCAACGAGAACATGACGATAACGTGTTCGACCAAAGTCTGCTCTTTCGGAAAACAGGTGGTGGAGAAAGTAGAAACGGAATACGCTAGGTTCGAAAATGGCAGGTTCGTTTATCGCATTAGCCGTTCACCGATGTGCGAGTACATGATCAACTTCATACACAAATTGAAGCACCTGCCGGAAAAGTACATGATGAACAGCGTTCTTGAGAATTTCACTATTCTCCAGGTACGATACATATTTTCTGCATTCAGACCATCATCAGCCACTCAATTGTGCGAGCATGTATACATATATTCTATTATGCACAGCTGCAGAGTTGTAACGAGAAATTAAAATCATTTCTCTAAATAGAAGATAAGTATCATTAGCTATGTTTATTCTTTAAAAGAGAAAGTAATAGCAATTGCTCTTGACAATTAACTGTAAGGAAAATACGAAGTCAAGAATTTCGTTTTCTTCATCTTACTTTCGCACTTCCAAAGGTACGCTTCAGAGCACACTTGCCGCCTTAACTCTGAACTATTATTTAAAATGATGCATAATTACAAATTATTCAGTTTTGTAAGACATGTAAATAACAGTAGATTAATACCACCTTTCATATAACAAAATTCACGAGCTACTCCTTTTTCCCCTCTAACAGCCTCAAAAGTTTTACTGTGCACTATTGATCTAATCTTCCTTTACTATTTAACTATAGCGAAAATAAAATCTGCAAATATGTAACACGTAAATAAAATTAATTGATATTTATTTAAACATGTATAAATTATTTATTAATGTATACATAGTAATGCATAATATGTACGATCATTAGATACGTGTAAAATAACGGTGGTCTTGTATTTTGCTTTCAGGTTGTTACGAACAGGGATACGCAGGAAACGTTACTGTGCACGGCATACGTGTTCGAGGTGTCGACGTCCGAACACGGTGCACAACATCATATATACAGATTGATCAAGGACTAGCCTGCTTGAACCTGCTCGCCATGCAGCCATCCACCCCCATCAGTGCCTACCATCACATAAAAAAATCATCCATACGCGCATATACACGATTACACACAAGATATATTAACCCTTTGAAGTGCTGTGATTATCGTCTACGACCACACGTTATTTTAAGTTTTTCTCATTCTTATTTCGCTCAAGGTTCATTTTATCCACGATACCATTAATATTGTACGATATAATCTCTATCGTGTAAATATAACATTTACAAACGCTGAATATAATATTTATATTGCATATTGTGATCGCAGAATTAGTGGTTTTAGTCAACACGCGTATCACGAAAACTATCTTTTATAATTTCAATTTCTTTTATCAAGTGCTAGTAACTTAGCATGCGGTTTGCTCGTAAATGTACGCTTCAAAGGGTTAAGCGTGAATACATGATTGTAAACACGTTCGGATTATATATATATATATATATATATGTATACATATATACACGTTTCACAACAACATTTAACAGAGTTTCCGTCGAAAATGTTCCACTGTCAAAATAAAAAAGAAAACTGTCAGATACTGTAGCGTCACAGATTGTATGTCTTTATGTTAAACTTAGATTCTCGTACACGCACTTAATCTCCCCTTAACGCACTGAGGATTTTGAGTCACAGTCAAAGTCACGTATACTTGGAACTTGGACTCCAACTACGATTTATAGAAAGAAAATAAACAAAATTTAGGCCTTTATAACGGTTAAAATACCTGCTTTAAAAGTCTACGAGTACATCTGAACTTGTTCAGAATTTATACAGCACCAGAATACTTGGAAAACTAGATGTAAGACACACCCAGTGCGTCGACGAAGGATTAAGCAGTACTGTCTAAATCCAGAATGCGTTTATTTTAATTGATCTGCGTTTTAACCAGATTACATATTTTATACGATATTCGAGAACATTTTCTGTGAAACTCCTTAATGAAAATTTGAAACTTACATAAACACACACACGTACACGTACACGTACTCGCACATAAACATTCACGTACACGTTAGAAGTACTGCCCAGCCCGAGCTTGAGTTTGATTCAAAACTGATAAAAGTTGTATTAAACGATTGGTACTCGTGTTTTAATATATCATGGAAAGAATTTCCTGTACGTACTGCAGGAAGTACGTTCCAGATTTCGGAATTGTAAATTTTATATTGAAGCAAATATACTCGTATATATTTTATGAATATTTCGTGAATCGCTTACAAACGAATCGAGATCGTCGTGATTTTAATACAGAGATATAATAAAAGTTAAGTTGAAAATTGACAATAAATTTGGTATGTGAATGATGCGTCGATAATAGTATATGTACCAAGAAAATAAATAAAAAAAAAGGAAAAAACATAAAAAAAGAAACAGACTCTGATCTCGGAAAGGCGTGGTACCAACATAACTTAGTATTATAGTTTTATTATTAAACTAGGAAATAGATCAGACAAGACATCCACACACAAATATACATATATTACATATAAGAATATATATGTTAAATATTAATGCAATGATTACAATTTACATTGTTATAAATGATCGTGTATAAAGTTATCTAAGTGATTTCTAAGTTTTAAACGAAATGGAAGTTTAATAGAGAGGTATGCCATTATGATTTCTTAAGTCTCCTTGGTTACATTATCATTATTAGAATTTTTTGATTATCAAAAGCAAGCAAAGTCAAGAATAACATGGTAAAACGTTACACACCTTTCCTTAAACTTTTTGTTGTAGAACTGTTTTCTCTTTTTTAGCTATATTACGACAAACGCAAGAGTTTTCGCTGCATAGCTTTTTAATTCTCAATGATCAGATGAAAGAAAAAAAACAAAATGAGACATTAGTCGTTGTTTTTTTTTACGTATTTTTAAAGGGCAACCTTTTAAATGTACTCACAGTTGCGCAAACCCACTCACTCTTAGGCAGCGACACTTAGATTAGAGGGATGTGTTTGTATTTATTTTAATCACTTTCTTTCTCGTACTGTAAGATCTTTTTTCTATAGTTCTTATGTGAATGACTTTCTTACTAAGCGTATTTCGTTTGTTTTTATCTTTCTACTACAATCGTGAAGCGATACGTTTGATTACACCGATTGCACACATTTGATACGGACAACATCCATCAGAAAGTCGAAACAAATGACAGAGATTTTTCTTTGCAATCCAATCTTACAATTTTCCGACTGGATGATGTTGAAGTTCGAGTATACGCACCGGTTACTTGAACTTAATTCTCCATTTTTAAGAAAAACGACAATTTAACAGCATGATTTCATTGCAACTCGTTAAATTTGAGCATACTTTCATGGGAATCTTGCTTGATATTTGTTTCGTACTTAATATCATTTTGATCGACGATTATTTGAGAGTAGAGGGTCATTATTCTGCGATTAATTTTAATTAGTCACATCTCTCGCAGAAACTATGCATGTACATCCATAGAAAACGTTTAACGTATTCTTTAATCTGATCAATTGTATGTTACAAAACAGGACTTGTCTATAAGGCAGTGAATATTAAGATATACAGAAACGATTCATGTATGTTTTAAGAAAATATTAATAATACTTATTGTATTCTTACTTTAATTAACTTTTATGCAACAAGTGGCAATGTATTTTGATCTCTCTTTTAGTCAGAAATAATGTCGCTTTTTATTTTGGGTGAGAATTGAATTTGCTAAGTGACTGACTGAATAACGAAGGAACTTATATTTAAATGATAATGTACATGGCTTTCGTTCGATAACTGGCAGCTTTCACAATTTTTACTTATTGTTACCTTTCTTTTTTTTTTTGTAATAATTGATCATAAGCGTTGTTTTTACATATTATTATCTATACATTGTAATTTTGAAAAATTCTGTGTATATTAAAGTGGAATTGAAACCGTCGAGATGTTCTCATGTGACGTTGTTTATAAATTAAGTTATTATATTTTTTTTAAATAGTGATCTTCTTCAACCATTGGGAAAGGAGGGAAAAATTATTCAATAATGTACATCGGAGATTGTTGTAATAGACGTTACTTTATTTAATTATTCGGTAATGAACGTCCATCTCGAGGTTTTAAATCGACTTGTAATAAGGCGTTATTATTGAGAAAACAACATATTACGCAATATCTTTGAAACATACTCAAATCTTATTTCAGTTACGCAAAGTTTTATTTAAAAAAAATTTTTGAAGGAGTATGAAATTGAAAAAAGGAGCACCGACACTAATATTATTAACATTAACGAATAATGATTTTAAAGTAAGCGAATTACATTTATAAGGAAAGATTATGAAAATATATATTTATCTATGTCTTCTGTGAAGATAGAAAATAGCACTCTCTCACTCTATATTGATGATATCAGAAGAAAATTGAAATCCAATAAAGATACAAATGCAGAAGTAGATTAGGAGAAAAAAGAAGAATTCGCACTGTACACAAATACTATGATACGATCAATGATGAACCGAAATTTGTTAAATATCTTTGTACATATTTACATAAACATCATCAAACGAAAAGTTCCAGTGACTACGTTTGTGTACTGTATGAAGTATTGCGAGAACAAAAATTATTTTACTTGTAAATCGTAAATTTGGTTCTAACTATGAAAATAAAACGAAATATTTTGTTTGTATTTGCAGAGATTTATCTACCAGGAAAATAATTATAAAATAAAAAAAAATTTTATTTGTCTCGATGTTGCGATATATCTGCAATATAGTTTTATAATGACAATTGGAACTTGGAAGACTTTCACAAAAACAATTATCTTTGTAAAAGCATTGACTGCAATTTTAACAGTGTATTATGTACAGAAGTTGTTGAATTATGTGAACAAAATTAATAACTCGCCTGTTTGAAATTTATATTTCTTCATATCCTGGAACTGCCATATCAAAGAATTGAGCTTGATTATTAAAATGATTAAATGAAATATTGATCAGGAAGAATGGGATCTACCTGTATATTACCATAAATAAAATGAAACGAGGATCAAAGTAGTTGATTTAACAAGTAAATAAAGAACGAAATGATATATCATTAAATTAGAGGTTTAAAAATATAATAGAATTCAGTATATGTACAGTATTTGAAAAACATGTTTATAATTTGTATGGAAAATAAATAATTGATATAAAAAGAGACAGCATTTTTTATTCACCCGTTCTTCCATTCGAATTATATAAATTCAAATATATTTTAACACGAGGTTAAATTACAAACGAGATCGAAACACAAACGATAATTATAGAGAACAGGTACACCTCGCCGATTTCGATGATTTTTAAATATGTTGTAGGAATCAACATTTTAAACAACTTTTTCCTATACATGTAACCGTCGCTCGACCTTAGTTTCCGAGATATTTGCAAAATACCATTCGTCTAAAAATTGTGGATTTTAGAAGGAGTGGGGGGTTGTGAGGGGTGGGTTTTGGGGGTGCATTCTGTAGAGGACATGAAGGAGAGTCGCCTTCCGTCATCCCTGGAACCTTCAGAAATCCCGTTTTTCTGCACCACCCCCTTTACGGGGGTGAACTAACCTCTTCGCATCAACCCTCGCCAATCCTATTTTGCACACACCCAGAGGACACTTCAAAATTACTCCTGACGAAGTTTCTCGAAAATCGGTTGAAAACTCCCATATTTATGGCGTTTTGAAGAAAGTGTCCCGTTTTTTTTGAAGACCAGTGTATATCACTCTAAATAGAGAGTGTAGCTGCGTTGTAAAAATTAAATTAAATGAATAACATGGAATAATGTCCTTTTTTTTATATATTTATTATGAGGAAAATTCTATTTAACAATCGAAAAGCAATAATCAGTATGCTATCCAGTAACATATTGCTTATATTTATAGTGTTAGACTAGTATAATTCATACTTTGCAAACATCTAGTTTCTTTAAAATATGTGTATTAAATGAATACAAAATATTATATTAAAGTATAACAATAGACACATATAATCTTGTGAGTTCTATATGCATTTACAGAAAAACATTACCAATACAGACAAACATATGTACCTTTCTCATTCACGTATCTCTTAGTTTATTTGACAATTTTCCCAATTAACTCACACAAATAAATTACATTCCAGAGTTTACAATAAATGCAATATTTTATTCTAAATTATAACAATTTCTATCTTATTTTAAATATTTCTTAAGATACATTATTACAAATCCGTGGTCATATTTTAAACATATTGGCAGATATGTACATACATGCATTGGTAAATGTTTGCACTCATTGAGCATTATTACCTTGTTTCTAAAATCGTTTCATTATCATAAAATAAAAAGAAATCAAATTTTGCTTGAAATCAAATATTTAACTTATATAATGTACAAATATTCATGTTTTTTAAGTACTTTCCTTTGTATATTTACAATATATTTACAAAATTATACTGGAAATTTGGAACTTATTCAATATACATTGTATAGCATAATATTCTACAGTTATTCATTGCTGAAGTGAATGTACGTGTTACGATATACACCCAATATAACGCGGCAATTTATAAAATTTTCGCTTGCATAATTTTAGAAATAAGATAACGATATGGATTAATAATATATTGTTGGTAGGCTTACGATTTTTCATATTAACTTAGATTTCGATAAGCCTGTAACAAATATATATTCAGAAATCACCAAACAGACAATTTCATTCTACTGTAATAAAAATTGATTATCAATAGTCAATAAAGATATCAAATGAACTTGCATTGTTAAAATCATTAACTAAGTAAATCCACTATATCTTGCGAAGGTGAGTTTTCAACTTTTTGACTTGTATTAGAATTCAAATATGAATTAAAATCTAATTGATTAGCTACAAAATTTCCCTGATTTATAGGGTAATTGATATTATTTTGAGATGTAGTTGGATTCGACGTTGATTGATTAGAAATCCAAGTATTTGTGTTCTTAGTTGAATTTACATTCATTCCTTGTGTATTGGAATATTGCTGTGGATTCGAGTTTGAAGACATCCAAGAATAATTAGGTTTTGAACTTGAAATTGAAAGATTTAATTGATCTAAATTTGATTGTAATAAAGTATCAGTTAAATCTTTTACTGGAGGTTTTGTACGTTGTTGTATAGATGTTGGCATTAATGGTTGTTGAGATTGCAATCTTTGATGGACTTCTTGCTGTTGAATTAATCTGTAAATTACAAAATTAAGAGAATCTTAACGAATTGAAATAAAAAAATTATACATTTAAATTTTACTTTATAGTACTTAAACTCTTCTATAAATAAACATTAAAGAATAAGCATTCTTACTAACCGAAATTTATCTTCCATTGTTAATCCATTTTCAATCTGTACAGTCTTCAAATTTGTATTTGTATTCGGAGGAGGAATTGTAGGAATTACATTAGTATCAGTACTTAAATTCATTTGTTTATAAATACTGGATGTTTGCGAGAGTTCTTGATCAAGCTGTTGAGTCTCACGACGCATTGCGTCTAATTGCTTCAAAGCTTTTTTGTGCTCTGTTGTTACACAATTTATCATTTCAATGACAAGATTTGAAAGAATTTCATACTGTGATAGACTGAAATTTTGTTCAACGCACAATGGCAATAAAAATGGTAAAATCTTTGTTGCCAATATTTCTTTACTTGCTCCTAATTTACTGTGACTTAGTAATATTCGATAAATACCTAAAAGAAAATTAACTCTCATTAATACTGTAAATTTAATAATTTATTTCTAATTCTTTATTGTATATTTTACTGTAGTATAATACCTATAATAGCTATAAGAATTGCAGGTTCGCCAGAGTGTGGAATTTCTTGTAGAAAAGGTAATACTTGATCAAGAACCATCCATCGGTCAAAATTAGGTAACAATTTTGCAAGACACAACAAACAATTGACTCTGACTCCAAGACTTTTACCATTACTTCCTTTCCCATGTAAACAAATCTTTTTCATTCTAGGCAAAATTGCATTTTTGATCACTGGCCCTTCAATCATTGTTATAATATTAGGTAAAGCCGATAAACACAACTCTTGCAGTTGTTCCCATTCAGATTCTAAGGCACGTAGCAACATTGGAACTACATCTGTTTTTATTACTTCTGTAGTACATAATTTTAGTAGTAGATCAACATGTTGCATTAATACGAGATTAATTTGCGGTGGATCATCTAAAGTTAAAACTGGTTTAATATTTGGTAATATGTATTCTCTAAATTCTTCTACAGAACTTGTTTCCATTACATATAATATGCTTGGTAAGACAAAAGGAATCATCGGAGGGTTAACCAATTCCTTATATAAAGATGGAAGGACTCTATGAAGCGTAACTCTGTGTGGTAATTGCTTCAGAAGCTGTGGTAGTCCTTTATAAAATTGTGACTTCTGTAGATTATCCCACTGGAAAATCTTGTCTAAATAATTCAAAGTTTTCACTCCTATATCTGTGAAATATTCGATCTTCACAAATTGATGTGCATCAGGTCTTAATTCAGGATTATGATTTAACATCAATTTAACTGTATTTCTAAGAGTTTCTGGAATGGGAAGAAGTTTAGAAACTATAATCGAACCTGTGAAGTTTTCTAAGAACTTTTTACACTTCATGAAATCGTTGTTACATTCGTGAAGAGGAACATTCATTGGAGAATGTAGAATGTATGCTAGTATTCCCAAAGAAAAAATATCACTGGCTCTGCTAACGCTACTTGCGAGGATGCATTCTGGAGCTTGGTAATTCAAATTTGGATGTACCACAAACGAAGATGACATATCATATTCCACGTATGACCACAAGGGTTGCGTACCTTCCATACTTTGATTTAAAGCACAAAAATCAAATCCAAAAATTTTCCATGCTCCGTGACTATTTATAACAACGGATTCGGGACACAAGTTTCTATGGACCAATTTAACATCTCCATGTAAAAATGCTAAGCCTTCTCCTAACTGTAAAAGTCCATACTTAATTTCAATCTCATGTAGTTTATAGTCCTTTAGTACCACTGGTATTGGTTGTGGTAAATTATCATGATTCCCTAAAATGTTAGCTAAACTAGCTAATACAGGTTCAGTTGCAAATGCTAAACTATCTCTTGATTCCTCCAAAGAATGCTGTACAGTTAAAATTTGAGGGTGTCGCAGTTTTGTTATTTGCGCGACACCTCTTTTGAGAGTTTCCAGGATGACCTCTCTATCATTTTTCGAATACTTGTCAAGAACGCGTTTCTCAAATACAAATATTGCTGCTTCTTGTTTTGTAGACTTTTTGTAACCACTGTAAATTTTCCAGAGTAATGCCGGCCCTGCACTCGCTATATGTGCATTTATTTCAAATTCTCTCGTAACTGGATTACCCGGAAGGACATTTGATAACTGAGATAAACCATACGCTGTGTTTTGGACAGTGTTGGAAATTGTATTGCTAACAGTATTTCGCAATTTTGTCAGCACATCCATTATGATTTATAGTTTACTTTAGTTGTTCATTCAGTTATTAATACCATTGATACTGTCAATGTATTTACTTATTGTATGGTTTTCTTTAAAAATAGCACATTCAGTATGTCGCTAGTTTTCTTTTTTTAATTTTGGCACTACAACAGAACTTAATTACATGGATTTTTATTGTGGTTAAGGATTTATAATTTTCGATTTTTCCTTGACATTTAGACATATGTTATATATTGATATGTGTTAAGTATCAATATACAAACAAACAATTTTGTGCACATTTTATAAAATAATGCAATGATTCCAATGTTTACGAATAAACGTCATTACATTAATCCTTCCAAATTGAACGAAATATGAAAACTTGCACACACAACATTCAATCACAGAAGATCACAGACAGATAGACAATGGAAATGCAAGTTACCATGGTAAAAATTGAAGATGTACAGCAGTGCTATCTGTTATCTAGAAACAAACTAATAACGATAATAGGAACCGGACATACCAGAACCCGGAGTGTACAGCGAGATTAGTGAAAATTAATTCGGCGGATCTCATATAATAGTCAGTACAACATTACGCTGTTGTCATGGTTCTCTTTTCTACTGTTAGAAATTTTCTGTAATAATAGAAACAATTAGACGTTAATTATTTATGTACCTTACGAGTTTCGAAACACTTAACAGGTTCTCGCTCTAACTGATAGGTGGTGACACAAAGTGGCGGGAAGGAGTCGACCAATCATTTCAAGTATGTATTTTTTAGGGAACATTCAAGAATCTATTTATTAGTTAGAAAATCTATAATAATTTATCAATGTATTTGTCTTTGAATGTTTTAATCTCTAATTTTTTGTTACCCGAATAGTTATAAATTTCGAAGTATGGTACTCGTGACAAAATGGAGGCAGCACCTACACCCTGTGGTTCCACAACTGCGGTTACCTGTTTTCTTAACCTCGAAGTAACGCATGAACGGTGCGCGTGGACAAAAAATTAGATAATCAAAATTGTCCGTTAAAGAAAGGAAATGAGCGATGCCGAACTTCAGGAAGAGGAAAGAGAAGTACTTCTTTCGATATACGATGGAGATTCAGCTTTTAAACAGCTGACACCTACTACCTTTCAATACAAGGTCAGTCCTTCGGTAGAATATAATTCGATATTGTTCATTGTTGATCGTGATTAAATCTTGCTGAATTTTCTGACGTTTAAAGTATATATGTACGCGTAACAGTAATTTTATGTACAGTTTGGAGAAGATAACAATATGAAATCATTTCTATTGGAAATATCATGGGGTCCGACGTATCCTTCGGAGAGGCCCGTTATTAATATGAACACATTTTACAACAAGGATATGTAAGTCCAGTTATTCTGTCCTTCGATTATTCTTGCATTATGTTACTTTCATTAAAGGTGAATGATTGGCATACAGTGTGCAAGAAGTAAAAGACAAAGTGGTGAAACTTGTGGAGGCAGAGGCAGATCAATGGTTAGGAAGCGCCATGACATATACATTGTTTCAATGTGTCCAAGAACATTACGTAGAACTAATATCTACACAACCAGACTCTATTACCGAAGTAAATTCTCATACTAGCCAGCTTAAATTAACAGAAGAAAAGCAACAGGTAATTGCATTAAATGTTAAATTTAGTCTGAGCATGTGTAAGTGATCAATTTTTTATATATAGTCTGAAGAAACAACAAAGAAGCCGAAGAAGGAACATCTAAGTAAAGCCCAGAAGCGTAGACAGTGGAATAAAGCAGATGGAAAGGGTGAAAGACCACGAGGGTGGGACTGGGTGGATATAGTAAAACACTTATCACAGACTGGCCCTAAACAAGAACAAGAGTCTTAGTTCAACTACTCTGACAAATTTTATACAGGTTAAAGGCGTGTTATATTTTTATAAATTATTGGAAATAAACTGGTTTCCATATCAGTTTTACTATGCTATAATCACCTGTGATAAAAATTTGTAAGAAAATATTTATAGATAATTTTATCTTATTGCCAACAAATAGTCACAAGATACACAACTGAAATCACTTAAATAATCAACAATTATAAAATTTTATCAAGGTAGATAATGTTCAAAAAAGAGCAACAATATCTTTACTGTTTAATGTTCATGCTTTACAATTAATGTTCTTTACAATTTTGATTTTTTATAAAAATCTCCAAGCTGCTACTGGTAATAGATTGGTTTCCGTAATCCACCCTAGAAGAAATATCTGTATAAATAAAAAAGATACGAAATTATTATCTTGTAAAAGTAGAATTACCTACCTTTACTTTCAAGGCCACTAATAAATGCTTTGTATTCACTAGAAATTAATAAATTCGTAGCATAAATGCTTTCTATGGCTTTTGACGAATGCACGCTATTACTCGAAGTAGAACACTTCTTACTAAGTACGTAAAGCCGCATTAAGGGATAAGACGGATCGCTTACTTCAGGTTTCAAAAAAAGATCCTATAAAAACATATCTTAAATGAACGCATACAAATTGATTTCAATCCATGATTTTTACAAAATGTTGTACTTACAAGTGGCACTTTTAGAGACATACAAATAAACAATCCGCAAAGGCAAGCATGAAAATACGCTTCCAAGACGTCGTGTGGTTGAGCATCTTTTTTGAGGCATACAAAAATAGTTCTATCTTGTACATCTATAGAAATCAAGTATTTCCTATCTAGAAATAATTTTAATGATAGTTCTGTGTCACTTGTTGGAATTATGTCTTTTTGTATTAGAGTCGCGAGAGAAACTCCCATCTTTACGTTAAACCCGCATACACTCATTGCTGAAAGAAAAAACCATTAGAAAAGACAATTTGTATTTATACAAAGTCGATATGAAATAACCTTACTAGGTTTCGTGAGCAACAATACTGATTCGTTTTTATTAACTTCCTCAGGTTCGGGAATGACTTCGTTCGTGAAGTAACCTTTTACTATTAAAGCGAAACGATCTTCATTTAATGAATTTAAACGTAATGCTTTCACAGCCGAGTAATTTGCATATAGATGTACTACCACCAGAAAGAGATAGAGTTCCATTAGGTATCTACATGCAGATTATATATACTATAGGTACATCAATAATAATGTTTCATCCCATTTTATATAAGATTACATGCTACCATTGTATCAATGATAATTACATGTAAATGAATATTTACCGAGCATTATGCAGAATAGAGAGTATTAAAATCCCAACAAAAGATGCTATTAAATTTACGCATGTCTCTTGACTTCCATCTTTGGCTGAAACATCTGCCAAATTATTCTGTAATGCCTATAATGAAAATAAGTATCTTGTGTCATAGAAAAATAACCGACGAGTAACCGGTAATTTTATTTTCAGCCTCAACGGACCTGGTGCTGCGTAAGCGCTGCCCTGGTCGCTCCACCGGCAACACCGACAATTGATTTCATTGCTGTTGAAATGCACAATATTACAAGAGAATATGAGGAGAAATAAGGTAAGAGTAATTCTATTCCCATTGCTAAATCGTTAAGAATGTCGGCAAAAAGTCTCCATTTTTTACACTGTCCATCTAAATCTGTCCTAATGAAGCAAAAACAAACTTTGTTTTCACATAAATTATGTAGAACTATCGAGCTCTGATGTATAATTTCATTTACCCGTTCCACCATGCGAATACAATGCGACCGACCATACCAGTCCCATCTTTCAATATCCATGTTATCGCTGCTGCCAATGGAGTGGCAGCAGCCTCTCCGACGCCTACCCCTTGCATAATGGAATGTGTTGTAAGAGTACCCATTATCGTACTCGCAAATGCCTAAATCAGTAAAGAAAATAACCCAACAATAGCTTAGCTCGTAAATAATTGCACCAATAATATTGCAGTTAGCTTCAATCAGAGCCTACATCGACTAACCTGAACCGTGTCCCATATTTGATATAGTGTATAATCGGAATGTACACTATCGGGATATCCTTGAGGTAAAAATACCTCTTTCGCAATTGATAAGAAACTAGCATAAAAAGATTTCGTCCTGGTCGTATCGGATAGTAATTCAGTTATCGTTTGCTCGTCTATAAAACGAAAATAAATAATAGGTTAGGTGCGCCAGTGACGTTTCGTATGTCAAACAGCTGTTACCTTTTGATTTTACAAAATATCTGTCTTTCTCACTCCCGTAGGTCTCGGTAAACATTAACCGCTCATGCATCTTGACACTACCTTAATTATTTTTATTTGATTCAACTGCAACGCGTGATATATACTTTTATTAACGATCATAGTCGTTGCTGCATGTACCGATTATACTTGCATTCGATGTAGTAAAATTTAGTTGAATCTAGCATTTGAGAGTCACTGAAATTTAATGTCCTGACATCTAGCGAAACCTGATGGAACGATTTACCTTTCGTAACTCACCGCTAGATATCAACAGCGTAATTTTTGTTAATTACCCACGCCAAGTCTAACCACAATTAATTTGCATATTCCATGCAATGAAATGTCTTACTAACTGATAATAATAGTCTAATAAACAGATTTTTGTAGACGAAATTTCAATATTTTGTTGTAATAATAGAAACTATTTCCAACATTTCAGTTATGTTTTTAACTAATGGTATATGCTTTTTGCTTTTTAATTTTTAAAGATCAAGGAAACGTCGTCGATTATCCCATTCAATTCAGATATGCAAGCATCCAATCTTTTCTTTACATTCATTGCGTCGAACTTTACATTCTTATATAAACTAATCTTCTGCATTTTATTGTTGAAGTCCGAAATAAAACGACTCCCATGAAACTCTGCACCGCCTCCCATGCGACCTGTTGCCAAACATTCGATAGCTTGTTCGTTTTCTTTATTCGTTTTTACGATTGCTCGATCCTCGTTCAGTGTAGTTTCGAAAATATTATTTTTCTGCGATTTCTTAAACTGGTTCAACGTTTCTTTTTCCCTCTTTGGTTTAATTTTAGCCGATGTCCAACTCATTGTTCTATCTAACGTATCTTTTTCGTCGTCTTCATCGCTTCGTAAACTTTGATCTTTTCCATAATTTTCTTGTTGCATATTATTCAACATTGTATCCCTTTTTTTTCTCTTAGGTGGTAATTCATTTTTCTCTGCCTGATCATCAAAGGCCGCGTGAATATTATCATTCTGCGAGTTTCTATCTTTTTCATCTTGTTGTAATAATTTATATTCCTTAATCCGTGACTTGAAACAAGTAAACAAATTTCGTTTTCGTTTCCGTTCGATTACTGAATCGCACTGGACTCCTCTGCAAATTCTCTTTTTTCTGATTTTTCCCAGGTTATTATCAGCATTTGCCTGTCTGATTTCATAATTATCGGTAAGATTGTCTGACTCGTCAGGTATCGCAAGATTATCAAGTTTTGCATTGCTGCTAAAGATGTCAGGTTGTCTTGCACAACATCGCACAGACTTTCGTTCACGTGTGCCCTCTAATTCTTTAGACAATTTTTTCTCGTCGTTAGCATCGACATTTTTAAACGCGTTAACCTCGTTTCGCAATCGTTGAGTTTTATAATTCAAAGTAGTTAGAATTTTCGCGATGTCATTCAGGCTCACTCCTTCATCATGGACCCGACAATAACAACGATTTGGTCTCGTTTGCTTCGCATGTGTTGACATTTCCTTCGATGCAATTATTCGACAGCATTGTATACAGCCAAAATAAATGTGAACAGTAACGGAATATTAAATTTCGTGGAACACAACGAATAATTTTCCCTGTGTCGCGCTGAATATTCCTATTGTTTTTGCCATTGAAACGTAGGTTATTTCGTATGCTAACTTCAATTTCGTGCGTGACTCATCTGTTCCTATATCGTTTAATGGTTATCGTACTAAAGTAACATACAAATTTTTTGACTCGAATAAGCATGTAACGTGCTTCGTGAGACGTAGCATGTCGGAGAAGTACGTGAAAGATATTCTAGAGAAACTCGAGGAAATCGAGAATTTGCACGCGAAGCTTCGCAACTTGGTGCCTCGAGTGAAAAATCAAGAACAGGAAAGCATTGACCGTTCGAAGAATGCAGACAATAAAGAACCAATTTCAATCGATATAAACGAGAGTAATGTCTCGCAACGGCAGTTTATTGATAACGATACGGAAACCTTAAGAAACGCAGGTGTTTCATGGTGCGTGAGGTATTTAAAAAAACTGAGAAGTCCATCATTTACCGACAAGTATCGGAAGTTGAGAAAAAGTTCTGTAAATTTCATTTCTAACCAGTGGCGCACGAAGAAGGACAAACTAAAAAATTTACTGTCGACCATAAGTGAACGCAACATCATATTGGGTAAAAACGGTTAAGGGTGCGCAAGAGCCAGAGCCAAACTCCGAGTTGACTTCAGCGACAGTTGCGGAAAAAGTAGGATAACTCCGGGACAAAGACAGAGAGGCCGATACAATAATTGCAGGAGAGACGAATGCAGGGCGATTAGACTAGCATGATCTTTTTTCCAAGATATTGAAGCAAAGAAGCAATATTTTCTAATAATTCTGGTTTTAATATATTCGTTACATTTTGGCGGATGCGACTCCAAGGCTTGATTTCCCAATTTCGGCCTTGAAAATTTATAAACAATAAAAGTACGTTTGCTATCTTCATTTTATTGTTTATAAAGTTTTAAGGCCGAATTTGGAAAATCAGGAGTCGCATCCGCCAAAGTATAACGAATATATTAAAACCAGGATTATTAGAAAATATTGCCTCTTTGCTTCAATATCCTGGAAAAAAAATCATACTAGCCTAATCGCGCTCTCTGTCCTTGTCCCGGAGTTTCCTACTTTCTCCGCAACTGTCGCTGAAGTCAACTCGAAGTTTGGCTTTGGCTCCTGCGCACACTTAAAGATGAACATAATACGACATTAAAAATAGACGAGATATCCAACTGAACGTAGGTTTAGTTTCCGTGACAATTTTCAGTGAACAGAGCTGCACAAACTTCAGACAACGAGCAATCCGTAGCAACATCGAGAAAACAGTCCACGGCGGGTGGCGAGGAAGTTCAGTTCTCTTCGAGAGAGAATCCTGAAAAAAGGAAAGCCACGATGCAAGAACTGTTAGAACGTTTACTAGAGCACTTTAATTATTCTCGTGATTCTGACATAGAGAATGGGGGCAGAGTATCGATACACGATCATCCCTTAGGTAACAACGAACCACGCCGAGCGCTGAAGACTCTTCTACTTCTACCTGATGACGAAGCCGAAACATCGAATATTATTTCGTCCGCCAAGAGAGTTTCGATCGATCGCCGTGGAGAAAATCCTTTGTTGAATAAAAGAAAGAACAGCTTTGCCACGAATTTAATGAACCATCGTACAGAGTAGTATATTTTCAGCGATTCGTAATGAATTGCGTTCATAAACGCCATCGAATGTAATAGAATGGATGCAATGATAACAGTGTAACTTTGTACTGACTATTTTATTAGATACACTAGCCTTCCTTTTTAAACTTATTGTTTTTTTTTTTGCACCGAACTAATTTTCGGAGTCAGCGCCTCTATCGGGAAAATGCCCAAGTTTGTCCTCGATTAGTTCTTGTTTTCTACTGTTAGATAACGCCATTTACTCTGTTTTTTTTTACCGATATAATGGTAATATACCGACAGGTCGGTAAAAAACACTGCAGATTACGCCATCTAGCAGGGAAGATAGGAACTATTCGAGGACAAACTTGGGCGCTTTCCTGATAGAGGCGCTGACCATACTCCGAAAATTAGTTCGGCCTTTTCACCGCGAGATGGCGAGTCGACCGATAAAATATAGGTTTTTTTTTTTATTACATTTATTTTTTAATTAAAGATAGCGTTTCTACTTCCATTGTTGGCAACTAATGACCTATTCAAGAGTCATACATAAAAAGAAATCGCTAGGTTGTATTCATCTCCACACTGACAAACCAGGCTGTTGAGAGTGTTGATCTTAAATAACGATGCATTTAGGTTATAGTGATTCAGGCCCTATAAATCTAAACCACGTTAGGCCAATAGTCACACATGGTGAAACCATAGTTTGGTGTAATATAATTTAATACAACCCTGGATTACCTAGGTACTTAGAAGATCTGGATTACACTATATTGGCATCTCAACCAAGCTCGAGAAAGATAAAGCTCAAGGCACTCGAGTTGCCCTCGACGGGAAGGAACTGTTTGAAAGAAACCTTAGAGCGCGTGGGTCGGCCGATGGGGGCACAGGAAAGGCGGGTTCCACCGGAAGTCACGCAGCTCAAACGTAACATTACGATCACGAGTAAATCCTCCTTCGATCGTGCATCGTTTAATTTCTGATTCCCCGACGAGTATAGCTAGTTTATGCACGGAACAAAAATACGTAGCCTTTAATGCTTACCACTTTGCTTCGAATTTTTGTAGGTTACGATTCCCTTCATCCATTCGTGTTTCCTTAATTTCGTTCACCGAGGCTCACGATACCTAAGGGGGAATACGAAGACGATTGCTTGGTTAATTTGATTGGATTACTTTGACGAACAGTTTAAGGAATTGAAACATCGACTTGAACGTATTGTTTGAATCAACGCATAGCAAATATTTCAGGCATTCCAAGCTGTGATGCATCTGCTGTCCAGATAAGAGTATTTTTATTGTTGATACGATTGGCGCCTTTCCACAGATAGGAAACAAATGTGAATGAAACTATCGACCTTACCAGAATAAAATATAAAATGATTGATTGAAATTTCCAGTATTATTTTTGTACTTTGAGAAGCCTCAAATGTATCTATAAAAATGGAAGAATTGTGATATCGAGTTTGGTCTGGTAGGGCCGATAAACGGAGATCTATTGTACTCTCCGCTTCGTACCGCTCTCTGGGAATCAAACTAAAGGTAGTCGTTTGATCAACTGTTTCTTACTTTAAAGAAGAAAGCTCAGTTGTTTCGAATATACACGTCGCAATTTTTACCACTATTTCCTTTTCGCCCGATGGAGGCAAGAAACATCGTGACCAGTCGATCCGAATGGTATTCAGTACTGTATTGTACCGTGTTCCTCGAGAACACGCATTTATTGACGACTGTTAGAGACTGGTAGAAAAACGAAATCCGTAATAACGTGATTTTCCACGGCATAAAAAGTGGAACTCCACACTCGCGCGTATCGCGTCTTTGACTACGGCGATGGGCACACCGCACTTGCAATGCATTTAACGGTCTCCCGTTTTTCCTGAAAAAAGTCACAATTTTACCGCTCGACGCTCTCTTCTTTTTAGGTTGATAGTTAAATATCTATAATTGCTATACTGTAATAATTTCATAATGGGTTATGCCCGTGTATATTGAAGTAAATAAAATAAATAAATATGATAATAAAGATGATCGAATCTTTATTTGAACAAAAATAACTCGTGCGAAGGGGAGGGGAATGTTATTAAAAACATAATAAAATTGTTCACGAGCTTTTTTCTTATTTCTGCTCTTGCGAGTATCATGAAAACGCTTTCCACAAAAGTAGAACTGATACAGTCGAATACAATGGAATATTATACATTTCCAGGTATCTATGATCAAATTTGAGCTTTTTCGGATATTTTGGATGAACATGGACCACCGTGAGCCATCGATGAGGCCCGATGTCGAGGCTTCCGGTCGTGCAAAAGTGTAACAAACAGGAGGTGTTGAAAATTCTTCCCTCGAAACAAGAAGCAGCCAATAAACAAACTGGCCGCACTTAAGAACGGAACCGGGTAAAAGTGCGAATAAACGAGCATACGGTGCCCCCCCCCCCCCCCCCCGGTTCCCGGTTCCCCTGCCTAGCTCTCCTGCTCGTTTTCCAGTCAACGACTTCGTCGGATGGTGTTGCACTCCTGCGTGCAGGGAAATATGGCGTGCTGCAACACACGCACGTGGGACGCTGAGGTGGGGCTGGGCCGCTCGGGCTATTCCTGTACACCGTCGAGTCGCAAGAAGCATAACAACGCGGCACTGTACGCTGGTGTGCGTCTCCTGCGAGCAGCGAAGCCCGGAGATAGGGTGGCGGGTTGATAACGCCACGGCGACGTCGTTGAATTCCATTCTAGCCTATCTGCTTCACCTCGCTCGATTCCTTCGACCGCAAGACCTGCTGCAAGCGGACATACACTCTCTTGGACGCAATTTATTATTCAAATCTAACCCGAAGCCTGGCGAAATTTGTGACACGCAAAGCATCGTGTTTACCAATGGGGCTCGATTTATTATTAGAAACTGACCTCAATTGAGAAGCAACTTTTAGATGTACCGACGTCGAACGATTCGAGATCTATCGATCTCCGTGACACTCAAAATATACTTAACAATGGATGCAATTTATTATGAGAAACCAGCCTCGGCTACGATCTATCATTCGCGTATACAGGATCCAACAGTTTATGAGCCATCTAACTCTGTGGCTAGGCTTACTATCTCTGGAGGAGCCGTTAACATCTCACAAGGGAACATATACAACTGTCCGTCTCCGATTTTGATGAAACTTGGTGGGTACATTAAGCAGGTGAAAATAAGGGATACGTATGTTTGTATAGCTGCCCAATCGCAAGTTTAGCTGCGATTCCGATAAAAATTTTAGTACTTACTTAATTCTAGTTCAGACGATAACTACATTCATATAGATTGAAAAAGAAATTTGTTTTTTCTGTCTCAGACGACTAGAACCGCCACAGCCTGTGCGCCCGATTGTACGAGCGTCTCACGCCACAACCTGCATAACACCGCATAACTTATACAGATTTCAATGAAGTATTTCATAAAAATTTGTGTTGTTAGTTGAAGCATGTTTTATCATGCATAAAAAACCCTGGTACTGTAGGTTTGATAGTTTTCGCAAAATTAATTCCTAAAAATTACTGAAAAAACAAATTTCTAGACGATAATATCCCCTTAATGGGTTGAAGATGAAGACTCTCTTTGATAAGTAATATTTTATGGTGCGACTAGCAACGTGATTCCTGAATTTGATCGTGAGTCGTACCCTCCATCACGCGTTCCTGAGAGCCTACAAACGCCTCCGTGACACTTTTCTCGGATCGTTGAAGGCTCTAACGGTGGGAGATTCGTCAAGTGGCGTTGCGCGTCGTGCCTGGCTTAGTTAACCTCGAGTCGCTTGTTTCAACGCTAATCAAGTGTCTTACCTACCTGTAGCAGCAATTCTACGAATTACTGCCGCTGTTTCTTTGACCGTTTACGGTGTGAACGCGAGGTCGGAGATCGCGGATTTTCTCTATTCAGTCTTCGAGGCGGTAACACGGTGTCGTTTCTGTGATTGGCCACTTGTTTTAACACATCGTTGACCGGTCACGAGTAAACTCGTGTTTGCATTTAATAATAATTTTGCTCGTCGTGTTATGTATGTAAAATACTTCATTTAAATTCATATTATATTGACAAAATATTCAATTACGAAATAACAGCTGATGACATGAAGTCCCTGCTGTGTAAAATTGCTTGTCAACAATGTTTTAAGAGTAAGCCATCGCATCCGACTGTGTACCACTAAATACCCAATCTAGAAACAAAATAACGGTACTTTGGGGCAATTATACAATAAAAATTCTTGGACAATGCGCGACTTATGAAATAAGAAATTTATTTCATTTGGATATTTTCTTTAGAAACAAACTCTTTTACGAAGTTTATTCGTTTTTTTCTGTTTTTCTCATTAATATAGGGTTTCTTCCTAACAACCCTACCGCGACCCGAAAATGTGATATTCTTTCGATTGTTTATTGCTATTATGTAATTTATGTAAATTTTTTGATTAATGTATACATCTTTAATAACATCAATAGATGGCTTATTATTGGAAAAAGTAACGAAGACGATTGCTTTTTTAATAATTACGATATTAAGCCATAAAGCTAACCAAACACTAGTGTCCGAATATTTCTGGGAGTCACTGTATATCTTTGACCCTTGAGTTTGCATTCATCTGCGGTCTCTTTAGCCGAAGGCGATGTTTCCGGGCTAACCTTTCATCCACGCTCGAGCCACGGGAATACCAAAAGCCAAACGCGTCCAAATAGGGACACAGGGTCGTCGTATAAGCGAGGCATGGCGAATTTATCGAGGAATATTAATTGCAGAGCGCGGGACACGCGACCGCCCGAATCGCACGGCATTCTTTCTTCCTGGGCCTCTTCCCTTCTTTCCCATTGCCTTCCGCGCCTCCCCACCGGTACCACGGTTTTGTAATGCCTCTCTGTCTCTGCCACTTCCTGTGTTCCGCCACGCTCACCTGTCTGCCGGCACCTGCCTTCATAACTATCTAGGTGTACACAGTGTATAGAGCTAACCGTGTATCCTATGGGACTTGGGCTTCCCCGCTCGTTTCGCCAGCCACGGCGTGGTTGCGCCTACTGCACGTTCCACCTGGAAACACATCGTGTACGCTACGCAGTCGATGTTACGCTGTCGCTCACCACGGCTGGAACTATCGTGGTGTTTCCCTCGCGCTGATAACGTCCTGGCTTTACACACCGGGTGACTCTGGTGCCAACGCGAACGATTAGTGTCCTCTGCGACCGGCTTGCGGCTGGTTCCCCTGCTTCGTTGGATCGAAAAGGTTCGAGATCGCACCTACAAATCACTTTCCTCCTCGATTTAGCCCCGTTCGCGTCGGAGACTCTTCCAAACGTTTGTTCCAAGGCAGCGAATATCGTTGAAAGGTCTCCGCGCGAATGGCTTCCGTAGAATTATTATTTCCAGCGCGTAGGCGCGTTGTCGATGTCGCTTTTAACGCGTGACCTTTTTACTTTTTCATACAGAGAGACCGGGGACCGCTGAAACGTTCCGAAGAGGATGGCGTAGACGTGGCGGCTCGAAATTCCTGGTTCCGCGGGATCGAGTGCGTCGAGACGGTCGTTTTCTTCGGTTTTGCGATCCAGGACGAGACGGTCGCGAGTTCCCCGCAGTGCTCGAAGGACTGTTTAGTGTAACGTTGCTTCCCTGAAGTGAATACACGCGTCTAGTGTTCCGTGGCGAGACCCTCGCATCGCGGACTACCTGAACACCAGAGTTCAGTGCCTTAGAATGACATTGGGATATCGTGGACGGTGAGTAAACCTTGCAAGTGTTTCCGTATTAAATTGTTGCGTACAACACCTCTCTGTTTTCGCAAAATTAGACACTTGGGATTAGTTCACCGAAAATTTAGATAGTAACGTCAGAGTGTTCGTGTGATTTGGGTTCGCCTATGTCTCTTTTCTGAATAGCAAAGGTAAGAATGATCGAGAGTTTGAAGACGTCGTTAGAAACCCCCATCGAATATTCACGATCGACGGCGTCTGTTGGCAACGGAAACCCCAGGGTCGTCATTTGAAAATCAAATCCCAGGCATTGCTAGTCGTGGCAGGTAGGAAAGCCTATTGAGACAATGGCTTGCTTCTCCTCGTGGGTGACCGTAATGGCGTCCCTTTGGCGTGGTTTCACACGTGCTCCAGGTTCGTGTAGTTTCGCTGCCGCTTTAGATCCTCGCGGTATTACGACACGGTGTCGTTTACGTAACAGAAAAATATGCGAGCTCGGCTTGTTCGTTCCAGCCAAATTGGGCACTGTATATTTGGGACAAGGGTCCTCGACCTCCAGGCGTAAGTTCCTTTTAAAACACAAATACATTATTAATTGATACAGTTAATCCCGTACATATTCGTACCCTCTTTGTCTGTTAAAGAAGTTTGACTAAATTAAATAATAACTTTGATATTACCAAATGAATTTTTCGTTATAAATATGTATATGAATAAGCTTGTACGTGTATACATATATATATTTATATTTATTTATATTTATACTGTATATTTACACTGTATATTTATACTGTATATTTATACAGTCAATGTAATAAGTATTCGTACAAGAACCAATTCAAAATAGGACTTCACATATTTATTTTATTAATCAATTTTAGGGAAACAAATAATTAACCAATAATTCTACATATTTTTAGAGTAGATTTTGCGTAAGTTAAAGTTTATTATTTTTAATGTTAACCTCTTATTTCTTTTCTTATTAGTTTTATTTTAAATCGATTGCTGTACAAATACTTCTTACACAGACTGTATATACATCAACATATTTATACAAACATATACTTGGAAACATCGAACCTAACGTTTAATTTAGACACGTTTCTTTAATAGAGTGTTCAATAGGTTACGAGTATTTATGGGGGTCTGATTGTATGTTTCATTCTTAGCGAGTTGAAGCATACATTCTTATTATTACTCCTGCTTAAAGACTAGGACGAACGCCTGTTTGGAAAATATTGAGAGGTGTAACGATAGCCTTTTTGTAAAATGTAGAAGATACCAGTGGATGCACGGGGTCGCGCATCAAGATGAACTCGCGCGCTAACAATCGCAGCCGCGTTTCCATCGCGCTCGGAATACCTCATTTATAAATTCCTCGCCATTTACAAGGACTTCCAGCGACGTGATGCGGCGCAATCCTAGTACGATAATCCTGCTATATCGTGCGTCCTTTTATTGCCGTTCTTTCTTGGAAATCTGAACAAGTTCTTGCGCTGCACGCGCTATCTTTAATCTCGATAATATTCACATCAACATGTCTTCGGACTGGAAGGATCGTCGCCTGTAACACACTCGACTGCCATCAGTGAGTTTCATGATAATTCCATCACTTTCGGACTTGTATTTCTGGGATACTGAAATCCATTCTAGCGTATATGAAATTAGAACTGTTACCCGAACTAAAAATACGTTTTTCGGGAAAAGATTCCACCGCTACTATAACTCATTCGCATCGTAAAGCTTCGTTTTTCATCCTTAACCGGCAGCTGAAACTTGATTCCAAGGTTACACGTTCCCAATTAAAAGTGGACATCGCGCTTATCGCGATCCCCGTGTTCTGTTACGTTAATTACATACACTAACGAATATTAAATTGCAACAGTTATCGATATTTCCTGACACCGCGCGGATGACCGAGGCCGTAAACCGGTACGATGAATTATAAACTCGACACAATCCGATTGACAGGGGAGAATAATGGGGTCGTATGCATCAGCCATTCTCCAGACTGTTTACCTATCGTCGTATGCAGCTGCGGCCACGTGCACGATGAGCTTCCACCTTCGTTTCTCGCCTACTTTGCGTCTAATGTCGCGTTTTTCATGGAAAATATGCAAACGAGAAAGAGTAACTTAGGCATTGATCACGCCAACCAAGACAGGCTACGAGCCACTTTTAAGCATCATATTTTTAATCGCAGTTTCTGCATCCAAGTTTTTGTATTATCGTGTAGACCGTGTGACGATGCACTGTGTATTCACAAATCCTCTTCGATTTACAAAAAAATGTTCCGTCGATACCATTGAAGCTGCCGCTGAAACGTAATTTGGGGCAGACGGTGGAGCAGTGCGTAGCGTAGCCGACCACCACGCAAAGAGCCCGGGTTCGAATCTCGGCCATCCGTCCTCGTTTTTCAAGGTATAGCTAAAATATAAAGTATCGAAAGCCTGTAGCTTAAAGATAAGAAATGGAAAAATAACTAAGAAGATAATAAGAACAAAAAGAGATTATGTAAGAAAACGTACACGAAAAGATGGATAATCATGGAAATATGGAAAATAAAGTAGCTCTTATAAGGACTGTAAAAAATAAAAATGTGATATATAGAGAGACGCTGTGGACAGTTGAGGAACACCACTCATTCGAGCTCAGCTTCGGCTACCAGCTGAAAAGAAATGATAGCAATATCGGTCGGGAAGACATTCGTTGACATTATCCTCGCGGCACGATCACGCCTACCTCGTCGCGTGTGTTGCACACGTTCTACGAACACTTGGCTGTTTCCTCGAAGTCAATCTCGAGGCCAGGATCCCCGACTTTCTCTCATCTTCGCGCATCCATCTTAGGTGTGCAGTTGCATATGCACGGAATGCTGGCCGCTGACCGATAAACAGCCGTAGCGTTGGAACGATCGTGGCTGACCGATTAGGGATGCCTGTTTTACCTTTCTATGCGTCGCTCTTGTAATTTCGTCGAGCTGGTCGCGTGTCTACAACAGTGCGCGTATTTGAAACCTTCTAGAACTCTAGAATCTTTGAAATAGGCTGAGGATAGGATAGGATAGGATAGTTTGAGGGATACTTGTGAAGCGCCAAAGGCATCATATATAACTTTGTTCCGCCATAAACAATTCGAAAGGATTACGTTGTTTGAACTATCCATTCAATTGCTCGCTCGAAACGAGGGGATTAGTCTCATTCCCGCGTCCTCGAGGTCCCGCAATTTCGAGCGGATTTACGGAAAATTGGAAATGACCGTGAACGACTTGGAATCGCGTTATTCCCATCGCTAGTCCCGATGCACCAGCGTTGCAGCTGCCGCGCAGTGACAGCTGTACCTTTTTACTCGCTGCACTGGTTACTCTGGTTTCCATGTGCGGAAGACGTCGGGACGCGTTATGATCGTGCTGGTCGTACGCCATTGCCCGATAAAAACCTCTTGGAAAGAAGAATGGGAAGTCCGTGCGAGAGCCTGTAAAATATCCTATTCCGCCGCGATAAGTAACGATTAATTTGAATGATTCCACGATTCCACGATTCCGCGATTTCCAAACCGTCCGACATTGACTTATCCAATGGACTCGTAAATGCTCTAACGAACCCGCATACATACGTCCCCGTCCGACGTTTTGATTTATAACACGCGAGGAGAATACTAATACGTATCGAGGGCTTTCGATATCGAACGAAACCCGCACGAGCAGACATCGGCTCTTAATTGTGAGAAAGTATCGAAGGATGGAGTTGCCAGTTAACCAGAACTAGTAGGAAACAGCGTGGGCGAATACATTATAATTAATTCCACGTTGCTTGAACTTGTAGTCCTTGAGAGCAACTATTTCGTTAAGAGTCATGTATCGGCATTCATCTAGGAGTTGTTGATTTATCAAACCTGTGGATACTGTGAATTTAACCTTCTGAGAGGTGACGATTTCGGGTACCTGGTGAATTCTCTCGTGGGACCTCGCTCGTTGCATCTCAGCCTCGTTCCTTGCACACTGTTAACAAGAGAAGATGGCGATGATACGAGGTATAATAGCATAATGGAACAAGATACAATGTTATTCTTCGTATGCTACATAGATTACTACTACTATGCAGCTACGGTTGGATCCCGAGTCCCGAGATTACAGACGCAACACTTTTATTATAGAGACTTTATTGAATTGTAACAGCAAGTACGCACGTAGCTACGAACTACCAGAATCTGAGGTCGTGGCCAAAATGCAAGGAGTTTATGTAGGCTAGAATAACAGATTTCGGGCGCAATAGTCAGCAACGGTCAAAGTGCAAGGATGAGTAAGCGGGTACAGGAGGTTAGAACGGCTAGAATTCGAAAGTTATGAGTAAGATGTTTTTGTGAGGATGATTCTAACGTGATATCTCCGTTGGTTATCCGTTAGTTATCAGTTGGTCATACAACGCTACTCATCCTCCCAATTATCTCAAAATCCTCCCTCAAATCCTCCCTCCTCCCAGAAACTGTTCACTCCCCAATTTCCTTCGATCATCGAAGACACGAGTCGTTCCTTGCGAAATTCGCGAACATTTAACCCAAGAAACGCACGTTCGAGTTCGAGACGGGTGCGAGGCGCATCTGGTCGGTGATGGTCGAAGGTGCAGGTGCATCTTTTCAGCGGTGCAAGCCGCGCGTCTGGCGAGCATCGAGATTTTGGCACGTCGCTATTTCGAACTGCGCGACCATTCGCAGCCTGGAACGTTGCTTTTTTTCTCCCGTTCGTCGAAGCCACGCAGCGATTCGACTTCAGGGCAAACAGATGTTCCGCACTCCGTCAAGATGTTCACCTCGCGTTCCATCGACGCTCACGGAATTACTATTCCGCGTACGGTCTTGGGACCAGCCGCGTGACGTTGCATAATGCTCGTCTTTTTCCATATACGAAATTGCGTTCTTTCTGGGAATCGTTGGCGAATATGTAGGGAGATGCATAGACAATCATAGGAGAAACTTACTGAAAATAATTGGAGATTCTTCTGTTCTTTTTATTCGAATAATTCAACACG